ATCCTCCTGAAACCTTGTTGATCCACCCCTCCGTGGGCGTCCCAAAGGGGCTGGGATTACAGGGCCCGTGAGCCACCGTGCCCAGCCAGAATCAAAAACCATTTCAAGGAAATGGGTGCCTGGAGTAAGTAAAGGAGTTAGTTGGGGGGGAAAAAAGTGGGCTGGGTGCGTGGTTCACGCTATAAACCCAGCACTTTGGAGCTGACGGACGATCACGAAGTCAGGAATCGGGACCATCCTGGCTAACCACGGTCGAAACCCCGTTTCACCTAAATACAAAAAAATAGCCTCCCAAAGTGCTGGGATTACAGGCTTGAGCCACCGCGCCCAGCCAATAAATATACTTTTAAAATCCTGGGATTGACAAGGCACAGTGGCTCACGCCTGTAATCCCAACCCCTTGGCGGGACCAAGGCATGAAAATCACTTGAGTCTAGAAGTTCAAGACCAGCCTGGGCAACACAGCAAGACCCTGTCTCTACTAAAAAACAAAAAAATTAGCTGGGCATGGTGGTGCATGCCTATAGTCCCAGCCACTCAGGAGGCTGAGGTAGGAGGATCACTTGAGCCCAGGAACTCAAGGTTACAGTGAGCCATGATCGGGCCACTGCATTCCAGCCTGGGGAACAAAGTAAGATCCTGTATGTTAAAAAGAAGAAAGAAAAGAAAGAAAAAAGAAAAGAAAAGAAAGAAAGAAAAGAAAAGAAAGAAAAGAAAAGAAAGAAAGAAAAGAAAGAAAAAGAAGAGAAATGAAAAGAAAAGAAAAGAAAAAAAGAAAGAAAAGAAAGAAAGAAAAAGAAAAGAAAGAAAAGAAAAGAAAAAAAGAAAGAAAGAAAGGGAGTTCAAGACCAGTCTGGGCAATATGGTGAAACCTCATCTCTACAAAAAATAAAAAATAAAATAATTAGCCAGCCATAGTGACATGCCTGTAGTTCCAGCTACTCAGCAGGCTGAAGTGGGAAGTTAGATTGAGCCCAGGGAGTCGAGGCTGCAGTGAGGTGCGTTCACGCCACTGCACTCCAACCTGAGTAATAGAGGGACACCCTGTCTCAAAAAAATAAATAAATAAATAAATAAAATCCTAGACTCTTTGTTTTATAAAATAACTGATAAATCTAACTAAATAAAAATAACATGGCACAAGTCACCATAAACAAAATAAAAGGCAAAAACTAAGCAAAATATTTTTGAATCATGGTACAGATAAAAGACTAATTTCCCTAAAGTGCAGAAAGTTCCCAAATCAATACAGTGTTAATACCTAAATTTTTAAAATGGCCCATGAACAAATTTTCCTGAAAGAGGAAATAAAGATGGCTCTTTAGCATATGGAAAGATAACCTCACTCATAAAAGAAATGCTAATTAAAACTATCATGAACTGACTTTTTTTAACCTATCAATTATCCAATAATGCAAAAATCTAACAACACACGGAGCAAGAGAATGGGGAAATAGACACTTCTATACACTGATGTTAATAGGTGTAAACTCTGTGAAGGACAATTTTATGATATCCAGTTTACAAGTGTACATGCTCTTTGACCCAATACTTTTTGTTCTGGAAATTTAAACTATACATATGCTAGTTTTTGAAACAATAATATGTATTAAACATAATACTATTAAATGAAAAACAAAAGCAAATTACAGGACAGTGCACTATGGAACCATCTATATAAAAAGATACATTTACATAAGAAATATATTTTTGCTTATATTTGTATGGCATTCCTCTGGAGAAGTATATACAAGGAGCAGATTAGATTGGTTGACTGTAGGGAGGAGGACTGTGTAGCTGATATAAAGAGGTAGGTAGTAGGAGGACTGAAAAGGGTCTACTTAAAAAATTTGGGATGTATTTTAAAAGTAAATTATGGGCCAAGTGCAGTGGCTCATGATGTAATCCCAGCATTTGGCTCACAGTTTACTTCATGGGAGGCCCAAGTGGGAGGATCACTTAAGGCCAGGAGTTCAAGATGAGCCTGGGCAACATAGCAAGACCCTATCTCTACAAAAAACAAAAAAATTAGCTGGCCATGGTGGCATGCTACACCTGTAGTCCCAGCTATTCTGGAGGCTGAGGCAAGAGGATCACTTGAGCCCAGGAGTTCAAGGCTGCAGTGAAAATGATCATGCTGCCACACTTCAGCCTGGGCAACAGAGAAAGACCCTGTCTCAAAACAAATGTTAAGTAAATTATAATAAAATTTAAAAAATTCAAAGGACTCCAAAATTTAGAACTAATAAGAGAGTGTAGTGAAGTTACAGGATACATCAGTAGTGTTCTATACACTAGCAGTAGCGAATTTGAAAACACAAGAGGAAAAAAGGAATTTTTTAAAGGACAGAAAATTACAGCTAGATAAGAGGAATAAATTCTAGTGTTCTACACCACTGTAGGATGACTATAGTTAATAGTAATATGGTATATAGTTTTAAATCACTAGAAGGAGGATTATTACGTGCTCCCAACACAAAGAAACAATAAATGTTCGAGATGATGGATATGCTAATTACCCTGAACTGACTGCTATACTTCATATGTATTGAAACATCACTGTGTACCCCATGAATATGTAAAATCATCATTTTTCAATTTAAAAAAATTAGGCAGGCACAGTGGCTAATGCGTATAATCCTAGCATTCTGGGAGGCTGAGACAGGAGGATCACTGGAGCCCAGGAGTTTAAGACCAGCCTGGGCAACACTGTGAGACCCCATCTCTATAAAAAATAAATAAAATTAAAATACAAAAAAATCCCATTTAAAATACCAACAACAGGCCGGGCGCGGTGGCTCAAGCCTGTAATCCCAGCACTTTGGGAGGCCGAGACGGGCGGATCACAAGGTCAGGAGATCGAGACCATCCTGGCTAACACGGTGAAACCCTGTCTCTACTAAAAAATACAAAAACTTAGCCGGGCGAGGTGGCGGGCGTCTGTAGTCCCAGCTACTCGGGAGGCTGAGGCAGGAGAATGGCGTGAACCCGGGAGGCGGAGCTTGCAGTGAGCTGAGATCCGGCCACTGCACTCCAGTCTGGGCGACAAAGCGAGACTCTGTCTCAACAACAAAAAAAATAATAAAATAAAATAAAATAAAATACCAACAACAAAATTAAGTGGTACCTATGCCATAAAGAAAATTATAAAAATATTTAAAAATACAAAGAAAAGAGAGACATAAATAGAGAGCTATACTATATTTATGGATGTTAAGATTCATAATCACATCAATGCATGAATGGATAAAGAAAATGTGGTATATATACAGGATGGAATACTATTCAGCCTTTAAAAAGAAGGAAATTCTGGCATTTGTGACAACATGGATGAACCTGGAGGGCATTCTGCCAAGTGAAATAAGTCAGACGATACAGAAAGACAAACGCCATATGAGCTCACTAACATGTGGAATCGAAAACAATCGAACTCATAGAAGCAGAGAGTAGAATGGTGGTTTCTAGGGCTGGGGGTGGGAGAAGGTGGAAGGGAAAGCCAGGAGATGTTGGTCAAAGAGTACAGAATTTCACTTAGGTGGAATAATTTCAGAAGATCTATGGTACAGCATGGTGACTATAGTTAATAACAATTTATTGTATACTTGAAAATTGCTGAAAGTAGATTTTAAGTACTCTCACCACAAATAAACGATAAGCATGTGAGGTAATGCATATATTTATTAGCTTGATTTGGCTATTCCACAATGTGTACATATTTCAAAACATCATGTTGTATACCATAAGTATATATTAATACAATTTTTATTTGCCAATTAAAAATAATTTTTAGGCCAAGTGCAGTGGCTCACACCTGTAATCCCAGCACTTTTGGTGGCCAAGACAGGCGGGCTGGAAGGTCTTTAAGTGGGACCTAGCCTGGCCAACATGGTGAAACTCCATCTCTACTAAAAATACGTTAAAAAAAAAACCTAGCCGGGCGAGGTGGCGGGCGTCTGTA